GGACACAATTTTATAGCACAGGGTATCTCCAGGTTGGGTATCATTGTAAAAAGGAGCTCCCAACAATAGTATAGGCAATGATTAAGGCACCTTTGTTTAAATGCACCAACTCTTGCCTTGCTGTCTGCAGGTTCAGGGGTCTCGAAAAGCTGCCGTGGCGCCTCCGGGACAAGGTAATTGGACGGATTAGGGTTTAGGGTTATGGGGTTTAGGGTTTAGGGTTATGGGGTTCAGGGTTTAGGGTTCAGGGTATGGGGGTTAAGGGTTTACACAGAGGAACATAGGGACACATCAGTTGCGCATGAAGTTCTGCAGGTCTAAGGAGTTTGATTTCAACCCGATTCGATCATATTGCCCATATATAATAATAAGTATTATTACTATTCTTCATCTGATTCTCAGTATCGTGTTACCATCATGGTCTTCGTCACGATAATAACCATTATGACCGCTACGACTGCTATAAGACTACTCATAATACTGAATATTGCCGCTGCTGCTGCTGCTGCTGCTGCCGCTGCTGCTGCTGCTGCTGCTGCTGCTGCTGCTGTTGTTGTTGTTGTTGTTGTTGTTGTTGTTGTTGTTCTCGTTGTCGTCAACATTTAAATGTAGGAACCTAGGCTGAATTTAGGGGTTAAACCAAAAAAATTGGAGGCTCCTGTCCCTGTAGAACATTTCTAGGTCTGCCCTTTCCCTTAACTTGGGTAGGCCTTCTTTAGGTCTGGAGTCTAGGGTTTAGCAGGTATCGCTCACCTAGCCCAGGATTTTCCTGGAAGTAAGATTGGAAGCGCTTCTCAAGCCCAAAGCCCTGACAGCGCGTTCGGGTTCAGCGTTTGGGGTTCTTTGCATCTTCATGACAATCGTAGGGGCAGTCGAGTTTCGGGTCTGGGGTTTAGGGTATAGGATTGGTGATTCGTACTCGTGGAGCTCTGGAGGTAAGCCGTTAGCACATGGGTGTTTGTGTGGACTGAAGATTGGACGTAGGATTGGGGATGAAGGGCTCTTGGTCGTTTCTTTGGGCTCAGGGCTCGGAGAGGATTGTCGGGACCACTAAAAGCTTTGGGCATTGGAACAGCTTTTTCCAATGCGACATCGGGACTGGGACCGTGCTGCCGCCGGCGCAACCTGTTGCGGCCGTCTTCCAGAGTCGCCATACGTCGTCGAAACGATCAGCAAGAGCAGATCTCTCAATCAACTGGGTTTTGGGTTTTGAGGAGCTTTCCTATCGTAGATCGAGGTCTTACCAAACGGGGTCTACAACACACCCGCAGGACCAAAGGCGTCACCGAGGTAGTTGAGGTTACAGCCTTTGAAGATCCATGACAAGCAAGAGAGAAAGAGACAGAGAGAGCGAGAGAGAGTGAGATAGACTGAACGCACTTCAGAGGCCTCTTTCGTGTAGCACATTTCGTAGCAACAGATTCAGTCCGAACGCAAAAGAGAGCAGCAGAAAGCAGAAACAGCGACGCACAAGAACGAAATCCACCGACAGCACCTGAGTCAGTATATACTATTTGGGTACATGGACCCTTAGGGCTAGACTCGTAATCCCCTATTAGAACCAAAAGTTTTAAACGAAGGAGACACCGATGGTTCCTAGCTTTCTCCTAGGGAGCTGCTCAGCTGTGTTGTGCATGTCGAAGAGAAGCCATTCTTCGTTCGAGAGGGGCCCCATGCCCTGACCTTACTTGGCGACTAATTCTAGGGTTTAGGGCTTGGGGTTTGTAGGCTTAGGAGGAAGGCTGAACGCACTGTCAAGGGTTCTGGGATTTCCATGGGGCCCTTTAGGTGCGAGGGTTTCAGAATGGAGACTATAGGTGGACCGTAAGAATCCTACATGTTTCGGGTTCCTTTTTTATGATTTCCTGTAGAACATACATGCGTCCCTCAACAGCTAGGTTATAATAGAGTGAAGGTAGAACTCATAACACAAAGGACCCAAGGAAAGCGGAGAAGAGTAGGCAGGGGCTTTTCGGGGTTCCTTTTCGGGGGTTTTAGTATAAAGGCCTTAATCATTAGAATGGGGTACAGTAGAGGCCTTCATAATTAGAATGGGGTTTTGGGCCCCATTATACTATAATTAAAATAAGGACCCCCCAAAAAAACCCTAACCCTAAACCCTAAACCCTAAACCCTACACCCTAAACCCTACCTATCTAATTATCAAGGCCCTTAGGCCAGGGACCCCATCCTCGCCGGCAGGCTTTCACGTTCACTGCCGAGGCCGCACGGCGTAGACACCGATTTGAGGGGTTTTGCTGGGTTTTTGCTTGAGGGTTTTTGGGGGCTTACCCTAAATCCGAAACCCATGAAAGCCCTAAAGAGCTAAGCCCTAAGCCCTTAAGCCCTAAACCCTGAAGCCTCAAACCCTCAAACCCTAAACCCGAAGCCCTAAACCCTATATCCTAAACGCTAAACCCTAGTCTAAATATTCAGGCCCTTATGTTAGGGTCTCAATAATTAGAAAAGGGTTTGGGGGTATGTTACACTATAA